TTAAGTCACTTTCTTACTTTCCTGAAACAACTATTTCGTATGTTTCTCTCTCAGTAAACCTTCGCCGCCTTGCATCTACCCAGCTGACAATATCAGCTCCTTTTTCTTGATCAAGTAAAAACATTCAGAAAGAAATTCCTCTTCTTCTAATCTTCAGATCTATGAACCAGGCCAGTGTGTCTCCTCATCCTACTGGGCTCTCGGTTTCCAGCCTTCCCTTCTCCTGGACTTCGCTGCTTTTGCCCCCTATCTTCAGTCCGTGGTGCCATACCCTCCTCGTTATCCCTGCCTCCCTGGTTATTTCCTGTTTCCTTTCACTATCTCCTCTCCTTTTACTCAGCTACTAAATATTGGATTACCTCAGAATTAAGACCTGGGCCTTCTTCCCTGTCAATACTGGGTGACCTTATCCATTAACATAACTCATAAATACTACTTCTGTGCTGATGACTTCCAAATGTGTATTTCTAGCTCAGACTTCTCCCATGTGTTCCACTGGTGGGCCTGCCTTTTTTAATAATGGGTATCTGTGGACATCCATCCCAAAATTAACATGCTCTGTACACCGCTCTTCCTCATCTCAGTAAATGATGCCACATCCATCCCTTTGCTCAGACCCAAACATAGTGTCATCCATATTTCTTCCCACTGTCACCTCCTATATCCGTTCTGTTACCAAGTTCTGCTCGTTCTACATCCAGAATATAGCTTGAATCTGCCCGTGCTTTATGCTGACTGCCTTTACTCTTATCGGAATGATCGTCTCTCACTTAAATCTCCAGGTTGGCCTCCTAGGGAGTCTCTGCCTGTGCTCTTGCCCAATCCCAGTCCACTCACTGTACAGCAGTAAAAGTGTTCATCTTTTTAAAGTACAATATATCATGTTATTCCCCTGCTTGACATTCTTTAGTGGCTTCCTATTTCACCTAAGGTAAAATCCAAGCACCATACTTTGTTCTGTGAATGTGCTCCGTGATCTAGCCCCTGCTCGTCTTTCCAGCCTCATCTCAGGCCACTCCTGTCTTCACTCACTACCTGCTGTCCATATTGCCCTTCTGACCTTTCCGAAGCCTGCCAGGCACCATCACAGCCCACCCAGAGCCCCGGTACCGTGTCCTCTAGCTCTGCCTCTAACCTGGCTTGCGCATGGCTAGCTCCTTCTCATCCTTCTTACCTCACCTTCAGTGTCAGCTCCTCCCAGAGGCTTTTCCTGGCCACTGTCTACACTGGTGCTTGTTGTGCACACACACTGTTCTCACCGTGGCACAGTGGGTTTAGGTTTTTACAGGCTTCTGTTACAGTGGCACTTACCTTGCTGTCACTCGTTGCCTCTCTTCCCCACTGGAACGTGAGGAGGAGCTTGTTTGCCTTGTTCGTTGCTGTGTTGTGTTCTCTGTTCCTAGCACTTGCCTGGCACATGGCAGGCACTTCCTTAAAGCTTCCCAGAAGAGAAGGGTGGGAAAGGAAGGAAGGAGAACACATTAAAAATAAGGAATCTCCTTTTTAAAAAGTCCTTTACTGAAGTAGTAGGGGCAGGTAAATGGAAAGAATATTTTGTGGCATCAAACTATTGCTATCTCTTGCTGGTTTCCTGGCTATGAGATAAAACTAAAATAGTTTAGTGGCTTCACATTTTACAGTTTTGGCAGCTGCCTCTTTTCTTGCTTTTAACTCTTCCTCAAGAATTAGAGGAAAATGTTTCCGGACTATGCCAGTTTCATTTCTTTGATATCTTAGAGTCCTTGTTCCCTTGTACTTGATAGGAGCCAGGTGCAGAAATTTAACTAGATTGAGGGGCAATATCAGAAAACAAGTGAAAATTGTGGGTATGTTGTCTCTTGATCATTAGTAGAGTCCATTTTTCAGCATTCAACAACAGGTCTGAAGAGCCTGGTATTAGTAAGTAAGGTGATAAGTGCTCTGAAGAAAAAGAATAAAGAGATTGAGAGTGATCGAAGGAGCGGGGGTGTTAGAGGGAGTGGACCGTCTCTGCAGAGGTGTCCCAGGGCCCAGGACCTGGGTGAGGTAAAGGGGCCCGCCACGGGAAATCGTGCAGGAAGAGCATCTCCCAGACAAGACGCTCCATGTATGGCACCATCTTCTCCTAGCTTCTCTCTGTTACCTCCTTTAGTCAGGATGTCCTCCTCCTGGCCCAGACCATAATCCTCCCATTGATTTTAAGGCCAGCCCCAGGGCCTTCCATACTGTTAATGCAAGGTGTGTACTGCACACTTCCAGGGAGCTCCATTCACATGTGTTATCATTGTAGTTTTGAATATTTCTTATGACCATTTTCCAGCAGATGGCAGAAAAGTTCAGGAAATTAAAGGACTCTTTCTAATTTGTATCAAGTGTCTTTATCCCTTTTTCCTTCTCTTAGACTCTGGCTGCAGTCTTATCTAAGCTGTTCTTGCTTTTTCTCTTTCTTTCAAATGTTTAAAACTTAAGAGTTGCAAGCGTACTACAGGCATACCTCAGCAACCTTGTGGGCTGGGTGCCAGCCCACCACCATGAACCAAATGTTGGGATGAAGCAAGTCAGGTGAACTTCTTGGGTTCCCAGTACGTATAGAAGTATGTCTATACAGTAATCTGTTAAGTATGGAATTATGTCTAAAACAAGTACAGACCTTAATTAAAAAGTACTTTCTCACTAAAAAAATGCTATCATTTGAGCTTTCAGCAAGTCATAATCACAGATCACAGTAACAAAAAAAATAATGAAAAAGGTTGAACTATTTCAAGAGTTACCAAAATGTGACAGAGACACGAAGTGAGCAAACGCTGTTGGAAAAATGGTGCCATTAGATTTGCTTGATGCAGGGTTGCCACAACCTGCAAAGTGAAACATCAAAAAATAAGGTACACCTACACAAAAAGCTCTGCTATAACCTTCACTCTAGTTCACCAGTTGGTAATATTTAGTCTCTTTTGCTTTATCATTCACCCTCCCTCTCTATAGCAACATTGTTTTTCTCCTGAACCATTTTAAAGACTGGTTGCAAACATCTTGCCCTTTTACCCCTAAATACTTTGGAATGTGTTTCCATAACAAGAATTTTTTTTTGATTTACATAACCACAGTACATTTATCAAATTTCAGAAATTTAACATTGATAGAGTACTTTAACCAATTTACATAGTCCATATTAAAATTTTGTCAGTTGTCCCAATGACGTCCTTTATAGCTGTTATACCCTCTTATCCAGTGTCCTCTCTATGGCCGTACTTTGTATTTATGTATTTTGTCAGGTCTCCTTACTCTCCTTTAATCTGAAAACATTCTCCAGATTTTCTTTGTCTTTCACACTATTAATATTTTTAAAGAAAAGAGGCCATTTGTTTTGTAGATGATTTCTCGATCTGAGTTTGGTGTTTTCTCATTAGATTCAGGCTATATGTTTTTGACAAAAGTGCCATAGAAATGATATTGTGTCCTTAGTGCATTATATCAGGAGGTGGCACATGGTATGAGTTTGTTCCAGTACTAAGCATTCTGTGGTGAAACTGTTACTGTTGTCATGTGAACTGTAACATGTATCCACTTGGACTCAGCCTGCAGGAATTACCTGCTGAGCGTTTGCTTTCCCAAGTACACAGCATTCCAAACAGCTGTCCAATTCAGTGAGCCTGAGTGAGTCATCTCCCAGTTCTTCTCCTTTGCAACATCACAATCTGGGACTCTTGGCTTCCCATCAGGAATCATAATACCTCTTCTCTCTCCTAGTAAGTCACATCCTCTAAGCAGAATCTCTAAACCAGTGATTATTTCTCCTATACAATCAGTGTATCTTTAGTATTTTGTTAGTTTCAAGTTAAGGTTCCTTTGGCTCTAGCAAGGCTAGGCTTCACAGAAAAGTATTGTAACTGAATATGGGGAAGAACTAGATACCAGTGGGTCATCTTGAATCAGATGCAAATTCATTTTACCCTTAATTACAGTCTTCCGAGCTAACCATATTCTGATTATAGTTAAAATTTTAGTATTTGCTGCTTGTTGTTTACAATGATGAGCATTCTGCATTCATTAGCCTTATAGATTCCTTAAAACAGAAAATAGATGTCACTTCCTTCATCTCACAGATGAGAGAACATAGGTTCAGAAAGGTTATTTAAGGTAATACAGCTAAAGATTACAAGGACTCAAACTCATGTCTCTCCAACTCCAAAGCTCTTGCTCTTTATAAACAAAGAACAGCACAGAAGAAACCTTTATTAGGGCTATTAGTGTTGAAGTTAGCCTTTACAAATTGAAATTCAAACATCATGTCACTACTAGATTGGCGGTAATTGCTAGCGGTTTACACCCAGAGTTTTTGAGGTATCTGTAAGTAGAAGAATTTAAGAGTTTTCCAGTTTGGATGTTGCCAACCATTAAGTCGCACTTTCAGTGGACAGATAGTCTTGGTTTCTACCTACTTCCTAATTATTAATTATCCCCATTCATTTTCAAAATTACGGTGATTTAAAATTATTTAGATAACTATATGGACCTCTACCCATAATCCTTCCTGAGTTCCTTTCGGATGAACTCGAGAACGGTGTTTCATTGTTAACTTAACACTAAGGGAACATAGCATGTTTTTATTCACTACTCTCTCTGCCCACCCCAATTTATACCTTTCAAATTATCTTTGGTTTTATAGTCTGTTGACCCAGCAATTTTGTTGACCTGTTAATTCAGGTAACAGTTAAGATTTTACTACATTTGCACTACTGTCCTTTCTGCTGAAACATTTAAAGTAAATGATGCTTTACCCCCATTGTACTTCCATAGCTTTTTCTAAAAAATAAGTTCCCAAGTTTTTATAAACCTATCCAAACCAAAGGAACCTTTGGCAGTGTGATACAATTTATTTTGACTTACCAAATTCTCTCGGGGAGGGGTGTGCCTGTAAGTGCGCGCTGGCGTGGTGCTGCATGCAGGGCACAGGCAGAGAGCAGTTCTGCTTTGTGTTTGGTGCGTGGATGTATAACTTGTGTTCCCTTTTCTTTTGGCAGTACACGATCTGATTTTCTGGCGAGATGTGAAGAAAACTGGGTTTGTCTTTGGCACCACACTGGTCATGCTGCTTTCGCTGGCAGCTTTCAGTGTCATCAGTGTGATTTCTTACCTCATCCTGGCTCTTCTCTCTGTCACCATCAGCTTCAGGGTCTACAAGTCTGTCATCCAAGCTGTACAGAAGTCAGAAGAAGGCCATCCATTCAAGTGAGTTGAAGCGTCACAACTAACACTCTCCGATTTAGTGGAGGGGTTCACTGAGACTGGTCACATCTAAGTCAGATTTGACTAGAACTTCAGGGACAATGCAGCTGATGGGTAACATGGAACATTAGCTAAAAACCTTGAAACCACCTTAAGAAGTGACCAAGTTAGGAACCCTGAACTTTTTTGACAGACTGGAGGCTCACACTTCTACGACCAAAGAGGACTATCTAAATTCCTGAGCAGGGAGTAGAGAAAGCATAGCATCTAGGACAGCACTCAAATGGGCCCAGGACATGTTTAAGCCCCACATGTGAAGTCTTAAAACAACTTTGAAATCCTGGTGTTGAGACTGTGCTCTTGGCAGTATCAGAATTTGATGTGTTTGCTCTTGGTTTTATTGCTGATTTCCTTCTTAAATCTCCTTTACTTTTCTTAATGGCGGCGGCAAGCCTTGAAGTCAGGTCATGCATTTCTAGAGTCCAGTTGCTAGCTTTTCTGACTGTTCTGTAACTTTAACAAATATTTTTCCTCACACTTCTCTTGAAAATGTTAGCCCATAAAAAAAATTTAATATTAGCAAATGACAGGGTTTTCTTAAACCCTTTTCTTACAGAGAAACCCTGCTGTGATCACCCACAACTGTGACAGAATAGGTGTCTGTCTGCAGCTCCAGTCCTCCTACTTTCATCAATAATTTAAACTATATGTGGCATTAAAACGGTTACTGCAAATTAGTTTTAACAAATCAGTAGTTGCCAAATGAGTGAGTGAATGAATTTTACTGTTTTGCCACGAGCTCAAATGCCTTAGTGGGGTTTTTTCCCCTTTTGTGTGACATGTTAGGGATTTATAAAATGTGTTTTGCTAAGTTGCATTAATTATAGCATCTGATTCTTTTGTGTTGTTGTTATCTTTAATCTACAGTTACATGAAGAACATTATGTTTACTAGGCTCCCCCCTTCACCAAGTCCCCCCCACATACCCCATTACAGTCACTGTCCATCAGCATAGTAAGATGCTATAGAATCACTACTTATCTTCACTGTGTTGCACAGCCGTCCCCCTGCCCCCCTACATGCTAATTATACATGTACAGCATCTGAGTTTTACACCTTTTGGTAGTAACTATTTTCTTAATAAATAGGAAAGGAAAACATGCCTGTTACTCGTCTGTTTTTCCCACAAGACTTTAGGCTTTTTAAAGTATAAGCAGTCTTAATCTTAATTTCCTGATACCCCCAGCACCTGCCAGATGTCTGGTACTCAGTAAGTACTGAGTGAATGAACACATTCAGAGCATGTGGTTGCATCTCAATTCTGTAGTGCATTTGAGAACAGAACCCAGGTCCAGGTCTTTCTATCTTTTTCTGTAATTTTCTCATCATTTTGAAAGGAAATTTCATAATGTGTCTATAAAAATTTTTTTTAATAGATCACAATTGTAATATAAAGGAGTGATAAAATAGAAAGACATTTTTAATGAAATAATATGTATTTCAGTCAGTATTTAATTGCTTGAACATGACTATACCAAAAGAAGTACAATAAAGATATCAGATACTTGCACCTAAAAGTATAATCTCCAGTTAGATGTGATTTTCCAAAATGATGAAAAAAACTTAGCAAAGTTTTAGCATAAACAAAATACAGGTTTAGAAAATTTAGGATATGTTAAAACAGTGGAGGAAAAAATACCTTGTTTTTATATGCTCTGGGCTCTCAATAATTACAAATAGGTCTGTTTTCATGAATATCCTCTGAGGCAATAAAAATTATGCAGGACATAAGACAATTCTTTTTGTCCATGACTGTCCCACACTCTGCAGACTTCTGGCATCTTTGCCTCCATCCACTACATGGCAGTGGTACCCCCACCCCACCCCACCCCATGACAGCAAAAAATGCCCCTAAATATTTCTAAAATGCTCTCTTGGGGGAATTTCACATTCTTAAAGAACTCCTTTGCTAACAGAAAGATATCTCCTTCCATGTCAAATGTATGACTGTTGTTTCTTCTTCTGGAAGAGCCTATCTGGATGTAGACATTACTCTGTCCTCGGAAGCTTTCCATAATTACATGAATGCAGCCATGGTGCATATCAACAGGGCCCTGAAACTCATCATTCGTCTCTTTCTGGTGGAAGATCTGGTTGATTCTTTGAAGGTTAGTTGCTTCTACAGCTTCTGCTGGTGAGGCTGAGGAAAACCAGAGACTAAGTTACAATTCAGAAGAAAAACAGTAAATAGGGTCTTACTAGACAAAAATGAATATATCTGCTTATCTCAGTCAAACTGTACACATGAATATAGGAGTAAGCAGGGAAGGTACTTATACCTAAAACAGAGATGATGTAATTGGTGTAAGCGCAGTTACAGTCCGTCTTTGGGACTAAGACAACTGCAGAATTCTCTTATGCATTCTCAAATGTATAGTGCAATTGGGGTAACTTTCATTTTGGATTTTTGGATATGTTAAAACAGTAGAGAAAAAAATACCTTGTTTATATGAAATTATTTATGGCATTCATCCCTAATTTATGTTGATTAATTAGCTACAGGAGAATAGCATCAGTTAACCTGAATTTTGCATTATGATTATTCCTACTTAACCCTTGGATGTTGGCCTTCACCAGCTGGCTGTCTTCATGTGGCTGATGACCTATGTTGGGGCTGTTTTCAATGGAATCACCCTTCTGATTCTTGGTAAGGTAACAAGGAAAATGTCTCCATGCTCTTTGAAGTAACTGATGAGAGTAAGAGCAAAAAGAATGCCCAGCATGGCTCCACTCCTTCCACGTGGCCAAGTCTTTAATGTGTGTAGAGACTGAATTAGATGTTGGAGGAAACTGACTTTGGCCATAGCATTATTAAATGATCCTAACTATAAAGTACTATCAGAACAACTAGAAGTAAAGGAGAGTCATTTAGAATTGCTTTGAATATGGGATCTTTTTTGTAGAAACCATTTTCATAATTTGGAAATTATTTGTGGTACAAGGAAGGCTGCCTCTGTACCTTGATGTAACTGTTCTTAATTGACAATTCTAGCCAGCATTTCTCATATTGAAGATCTGTGTTTCCCTGTATTTCATGAGGAGAAGCGTATGTGTTACTTGAGTCTCTGGACTTTGTGACTATCTCACATTTACACTTGCCATTTCCCATGATTCTGTCTTACAGCTGAACTGCTCGTTTTCAGTGTTCCAATTGTCTATGAGAAATACAAGGTAAGCATTTGTCTTTTTCAAATCAGATATGCCAGTTGATATAAATGACTAGTTTTAGTTCATTTTTTTAGGTATTGAAAGTTTGGAACAATCTTTTTCTAAACATTTCTATAGTCTAATTTATAGGTTATATTTTATAAGAAACTGATAACAGAAAGAAAAAACTGGTAACAGAGGTTTCCTAAGGAGAGAAGCTGAATGTCTAGGAGAGATAAGGGTAGGATGGGAGGCTGACTTTTATACCCGGCTGTATGCTTTTTGCATTTTTATCACATGGATATATTATCTGTTCAATAAGTTGGAAAAATTGCTTAAAGAAATAAAAGCTGGTATCTGCAAAGAAATGTAAATTTCCAAGGTCATATAGGGTGGTATAAAAGTAAACAGATTCTTACATTGTGGAATGGTGTATATACAGTATACTAGATGCTGTGAGGTTGTTCTTTATACATTAAATCATCCATCAACTGACTTTTATTTATAGCTTTTTGGTAGCAAATGAATTAGTCTTACCCAAGAGCCAAAACACATCTGTGATTATAGTACATAGATTAGACACACAGTTTCTAGTATTCAGAAAATACTATATATACTCTAGTATCTCTAGAGGAAAACATCTAGCAGGTAAGACCTACCTCTGCAAAGGGAATAATTGGTTTTTACTTCAACAGAATGTGGGGTATTGATGGCATAATTTGAAGTCTGAAACCTAAAGTTTTAAAAAAAAATGGGCATTATTTTTATTTTCCAGAATATACAGTAGTGTTTTTTTTTAATGGTTAAACTAAACAAACAAACATTTCCTTCAGGAAAATTGTTATTCTGTGTGTTGCCACAACTGAGTCACTTTTCTTCCTTAAAGACACAGATTGATCACTATGTTGGCATCGCCCGAGATCAGACTAAGTCGATTATTGAAAAGTAAGTATGCTGAGGTTCCACATTTCATCATGTGTGTTTTTTTCCCTGCTATTTTTAGTCTCCCTGGCAAAATGCTGATGCAGAAAATGTCATTTTCACCCTGAAAAAAATCCTTGGTTTGATTTTACTATAAATTATTTTACCCACCTCTTTAAAAAAACATCCTTTATGTCTTAGACTAACAAGAATCAGTGGACTCAAGATCACTCTTTTAAATGACTTTAAATGACTTTTAAATATTCATGGCTGTCTACTCAACTTCATTTATTTTCACATATATCAGTTTTAAGTTAAACTCTTCTCTCTCTTTTCAGAAATATGTTTTTTAATAAATAAATGACTTAAGGCTGAAAAGATGCCTCTTCCTAAGACTACCCAATCCCTCTGTTTTCCCTTTAAAAATTATTTTTAACCAATTTGATATTTAAACCAAGTAATAAAATATTGGAAGATGATTTTATGACTCCCCACATCAAGGAACCTTTTTTTGTTTTTTAATTATAGCAAACACTATGGAACCCAACACAATTAAAACGTTAACATTTTCCATATTTTCTTAAAGTGTTCTTCAAGAAAGAAAATACCACATCAGGAACAGCTAAAAAATACCCTTTGTGCTCCCCGCACCCACCAGTCCCTTTCATCCTCCAGATTTTAGTGCTTTTTCCAGCTTTGATGAGTGGAAACTGAATATATCCAGACAGCTCTACTTAATGCCAGGGTATTTACCTGCTCTTTGCTCTTTTAGGTGTACACTGAAGCTACAGTCAGGCAAGGACAGGTAGCACGAATATGTATCTGGTTGCTATTTACTCATGGTTGTGAGAGATGGTTGTAGCTTAACTTTAAATCTGACTGATCAGCAGTGTTTGCTTACTCAGGCCCCCTGCTGGAATGTGCCGTTTGTGAGGCAGACCTCTGACATTAGCTCAGGGGTGTCAGTGACCTTATTGAGGGTGACCTTAACACACAAAATAAAAGGCAGCTTTGGTGTCCTAAATAGGGCTGGGAACTGTTGCCAGCTCCTATAGTTTTTTATATGCCATCTTGACCTTTGACTCCTGTTTCTTTAATGACACTAGTGGGTAACTTAGCATTCCCTGAGAAATGGGCTCTTACACTGCTGGTGTGCAGAGCAGTCAGCAGGCATGTGTCCAGATGCCCCTTATTCTTCCCTGGAACCCCCAGCAAAGGACCCAGGACAAGGAGGTTCAGGCAGTGGAGGAGGATGGGCAGCAGGCACCATGTCAGAGAGAGGGGTGGGTCTTGGTGGCCCCCTCAGCTCATCCCAGGCCCCACTTGGCCCCTGCCTCTTCTTATCCTGAATAAACCCTGTGGAAATGGGAGAATGTTTTTCACGTTGCTCCAGCAGTCCGGGACCTCCTCTAGCATCACTGCTAAAACAAGAACCTAGGACTGTACTGTCAGTTTTTCACCATCTTCTTCTTCTTTTCTTTCCCCAATAGGATACAAGCAAAACTCCCTGGAATCGCCAAAAAAAAGGCAGAATAAGTACATGGAAACCAGGAACACAACAGTTACTAAAACACCATTTAATAGTTAAAGCATCATTACTTGTACTATGAAGGAACATGCTCGGTGTCAGCTTGAGCCTGCATTCCAAGCTTTTTTTTTTTAATTTGGTGTTTTCTCCCCTCCTTTCCCTTTACCCTCAATATCAAGCACAAGAATTGGACTAAAAAAAGAATTGGTATCTTAGAACCCAAAAGAATAAGGAAAGAAAGAGCAAATTAGTAGGATAAATCAATACCTTCATGGTGATGGAGCCTTTAGCTATAGCTTGAAAGGGAAAAGATTGGAGGTAAAGGAGAAAATGAAAGATACACATTTTGAGTTGTTCTGTTCAAAATGAAAGAGAACACATCTCTTGGGATTTTCTATCCAATTTTCAAGGACTACTTTTACAGTTTCCCATCATAGTTTTGCCCTTATTTTTAAGTTAAGAAATAATGATTAACTTATGAAGAAATTATCTGGGGACAAGAGTGGGATTCCTTCCCATGGGTTTTTTTTTGGCAACCCTTGATCCCATCTTCCTGCCCAAAAATGTGAGCAGCTCCTGCTAAATATTCCTCTTCTTTGCTTCAGGATATAATTTTCAGCTCTATGAATAACTCATAGGTGGTAGTGGTAATTCCCAGTCCCCAGATACCGACTGGTAACCAAGAATGAAAGTGGACAGTGGGCCTGGAGAGGGAGTCAGCGGCAGCAGTGCTGCGGCCCCACCGCGTCTCCCACGCACCACGAGGAGAGGCAAGGCTCCGCCGTTGGGGGAAGCGCTGTCATGTCCTCTGGACACCAGTTCTGAGCTTTAGTCTGGGGACTCATTCCTGAATGTGCTTTCCTCCCTCTTCCCTACCCACCTCACCTCAAGTTTAATAAGAATGATTGTTCTCTTCTATTATGAAATAAATGTCTGTAACTGCTGTACGCTGCTGTAAACTTGTTAGAGAAAACAAATAATCTGCATGTCGGCTCCTCAGTCATTGAGTTACTGTAATCCTATCTCAGTCCATGGGGGGGGACTACAGAGGTGAACTACAAAAACACAAAGGCCTTTTTTTCTTTCATCTCTTCCCTACCGTGTCCTTCACATGCTACACCTTTAACCTGAGCCCATCGCTTTACCCTGCGGACCAACACTGAGCTGGCTTGAGAGATTGTATGTGTCTAGCTAAGAGACCACAAATGAAGCGTAGAGAAGTGCATCTGTGGTTCATAGGGCGTTCTAACTTTAAGGCTAGTTTGTAGGTGTTATGTTTTGAGGGTTCATTTTCAGGCACATAAAATGTCTTTGCACCTGTACTGTGGCCCAAGTGCTCGTTTTGAGTGTTTTCCAAGAAGCTTTAGGTAAGCTTATGTTGATGGGCTCTGTGCACAATTAAAAGACAACAACACATCAACTCACATCAAATGGAGGGCAACTGGGAATCTTTGACTCCCATCTGAGACTGATCCAGGTATCTTCCTCTCCTTCCAACATGAAAATTCAGTAAAATTGAAAGAAAAGTCATCTTTGAGTTCCTTCAGGTTTTAACTCAGTTGCAGTAACCCAGAGAGAACACAAACTGGTGGCTTAGAAGTAAGGGCCGTAGTCTTTGCCGGTCCCACCGCGGCTCTGCAGAAGGAAGTTTTCTAAGTTTGGGGGAAAATTAGGTACTTAGATGGGTAAAAGGTATCCTTGCCTTGCTCCATTCTCTTATTTTCTTAGCCCCCTTTCCTTCTGAATTTTTAAACCAATTTCCTGTCACAGTGGGAAATGCATTCTCCATCACAGCGTTTGCCCTCCAGGAAGTCAGTGCACTGATCATGTTCGGCTCCCCTCCCAAGGACCTTTTTCTGCACTGGAAACCTCCACACCTGGCTCTTCTGTTACTGCTGTGTTTAGATAGTTGGATGGATCTTTGTGCCACACAGGAATTTTTTTTGTCTTTGTTTTTTAAGAAAAACCTATAGGTGAAAAATTACTAATGAAACTGTGTGCGTGTATGTGCGTGCAACATAAAAATACAGTAGCACCTAAGGAACTTCAATCGTGGTTCCTGTAAAACTACAAATTGATGTGGTATTAATAAAAATTTAAAGAACACAGTGACTGTGGTGTCATTCTAACTTTATTTTTTATACACATTTTGGGTGAAGAACAAACCAAACAAGGCTTCCCCTGGCCCCCATCCCCACTCCACTTCTGAGGCTTTGAAAAGCAACTGATAGTTGATACTGGTAATGAGTCCCAAGGTTGCAGAATTTCTGTTAACAGAGCAAAGCTGTGCATTTGGTTTCTGAAAGAAAATACGAGGCCCTCTAAGAGGTGACCTTAGGAGAAAGATTATAAAGCTAGGAAGGGGCCAGGGGGGTCTGTTATCCCAGTTCAGCCTCACACCAACCTAGGAAGGTTCCCTGCCTGCGACACAAAGCAGCCTACAAATCACACAGCCACAATGCACTTAAATTGCCAGTCACCATAGAAAATGGAAAGTAAATCCATCAGGTCTTTGCTCAATTTGTCCCCTCAGATCTGCTCTTCCCAAAAACTAAGGCTGCCCTTGACCCTCAAGCTGGATTAAAATTTTTTTTCAGCATACCTCTTAGAAAACTTAGTAATTAAAAAAATGGATGCAAATACCTTCACAAATACACATACAAATATTTGAATAATGTCACTAACATGGTATATAAATACTATTCAGAGTAACATTTACATATTGGCCATAATAGCAAGCATACCGTTAACAAAAACTTCATGAAGAAACTTCATCCGTTTGCATTTGACTCACAAGGTGAGGAGGAGGCACACCTAGAGATGGGGACCACCTAGTCCCTAACGCCCAACCTCATGAGGGCACAACCATGAAGTAGGAATCACTACAGTGGCACTTCCTAGGTCACTGGTGCTTAGACTGCCTGCGGGCCTCAAGATGATAGGAGCCTTGTCAAAATGATTGCTGAGCCCCACCCATTCTGATTCAGTGAGGTGAGGGCCCTAATTTGCATTTGTAGTAAGTTTCTAATGTGATGTTGCTGGTCTAGTGGCCACACTTTGAAAACCACTTAAGTGCTTGTGGCTGCCTCTCCATGCAGACATCCACTCCTGTCCTCCCTATTGAGAGGAAAAACCATTCCTGACCTGCTCTCTGCCCTAGCTTACCTGAACTTCGGCAGTGGGCTTGGGTGACCGTAATAGGTTGCCCGGATTTGCCTACTGTTTTTGAACAGGCAGAGTAGCAGGAGTGGTGGAATACTCATTCTGGATCTGAAAATGTGCATGAAGGAAAATAAAAGAATGACAGTGCCCAGTCAGGTAGCCCTGTAATCCGTGTTGTCAAACTTCTAATACTGTCTCAAAGACCCTGGGGGGTCAAGCACACTGGGAATTCACTTTTCAGTCAACTGACAATGGCAGTATTTCCTGAATCCCTGGCAGCATGGATAAGGAACCCGTCAGAGCCCCTGTCCTAAGAGGGAGGCCTCAGGGCAGGCAGCACCCAGCCCCTCTCCTGGATCTGCCGGAGACTGCTGTCCACACCCTCCCGCGGAAGCCCGTGGTGGCGAGAGCTGCCCTGACAATACTCATCCCACGTGCAGTTCTTGGCCATCCCCAGGCCACTACAGCACAGCGGGGCCTGCAGCCCCTGGCAAGTGCTGTCCTTTGGCAGGTCTAACGGAGAGTTATTTGAGTAACTCACCAAAATTGGGAGGCAGTGTTGGTGTAGTGCAAACACTGAATTGGGAGTTGAGATTTCTATTCTAGTTCTTACACGATTTCTACCTGGCTGTGTGATGATTTCCGTTTCTGGGCTTCACTTTTATGGAACTGTAAAGGGGTTGGGAGGCGGGTACTAGTTGATCTCCAAGGTCTTTCCAACTCTGACCATCTTGAATTATATAAAAATGCTATAAAAATCTGGTATAAAATCCAATTCCCAATCAGGAAGAGCCGTTGGGACTGGGCCTGAGGCACTTGAACCTTGGGCTCTGGCCTGGGAGGCGGGGGAGGACGCTGGGATTGAAGAAGGGCTTCTTTACTCGCTGCTTTCCCGCACTCAAAACGCCCCTGGGCCCAGGTGCCAGGGCCCATCCCCCTCCAGCCCCAGCCCTCAAGTCCCACCCGGTGACCCCACCCACCTCGGGTTCTAAGAAGGACCGGGCCTGGCCTTGTGTAAAGCAGACGCTGGGGCCCAGAGGAGGGGCCTGGAGAGCCACGCGTTAGTGTGGGGTGTTTGGGGTCCTTCCATCCCGCCTCTTCTCGCTCCTCCTCGTCTTACGTCCCTCCTCCACCACCTCACAGCTTATCTCTGATACACGCATAATAAATAAGACATTTGCACATAAGGGTGACCGGGACAGCTCTCTCCCCGCCCCTCCCTTTCATATAAAAGCATTAAATACAGTTTCAAAATAAAATACAAAGAGCAAAAAGGGCCTGATCTCGGGGCCACCTGTTCTCCACAGGAGAATGAATCTACACATCCCTCTCGGACCTGCCTGGGAGATCGCGGGGCCCCTTCCCGGCCCCACAGGGCCCGGCGCCCTCGCGGGTTAGGAAAGGAAGGCCGAGGCCCGGCCCCAGGCCCTGGGGGCTGAGAAAGGGGAGAATGGCTGGCGCGTCCACCGCGTACAGAGGGGAAGGGATTGAGGGGTACAGGGAGATGAGACGAGAACATAACGCCAGCTGCCGGGACCTCCAGTGCCCCGGGCTCGGCCCCAGGGGGCGCTGAAGCAGGAGCCCCTGACGAGCTTACGGGTAAATGGAGGTCCCCGGAGGAGAGCAA